AATCCCAGGACACTGGAATCATGACCTGAGCTGAAGGCAGAGGTTTTAACCCACTGAGCCACCCAGGTGCCCCTGGGTAGTTCTATTTTTAACATGTTGAGGAACCTCCACACTCTTTTTCAGAGTGGCTGCACCAGCTTGCTTTCCCACCAATAGTGTAGGAGGGTTCTCCTTTCTCCCCATCCTCACCAACATCTGTCATTTCCTGACTTGTTAATTTTGGCCATTCTAACTAGTGTAAGGTGGTATCTCATTGTGGTTTTGATTTGTATTTCACTGATGGCTAGTGATGTTGAATATTTTGCCATGTGTCTGTGAGCCATTTGCATGTCTTTGGAGATATGTCTGTTCATGTCTTCTGCCCATTTCTTGATTGGATTATTTGTTTTTTGGGTGTTGAGTTTGAGAAATTCTTCATAGATCTTGGATACCAGCCCTTTATATGAAATGTCGTTTCCAAGCATCTTCTCCCATTCCATGGGCTGTCTCTTTGTTTTGTTGACTGTTTCCTTTGATGTGAAGAAGGTTTCATCTTGCTGAAGTCCCAATAGTTCATTTTTGCTTTTGTTTCCTTTGCCTTTAGTGATGTGTCTAGGAAGAAATTGCTGTGGCTAAAGTCAAAGAGTTGACTGCCTATGTTCTTCTCTAGGATTTTGATGATTCCTGTCTCATATTAAGGTCTCTCATCCCTTTTGAGTTTATCTTTGTGTGTGTTGTAAGAGAATAGTTGAGTTTCAATCTTCTGCATGTGGCTGTCCAATTTTCCCAGCACCACTAACTGGAGATACTGTCTTTTTTCCATTGGATATTCATTCCTGCTTTGTCAAAAATGAGTTGACCATAGAGTTGAGGGTCATTTCTGGGGTCTCTATTCTGTTCCATTGATCTATGTGTCTGTTTTTGTGTGAATACCTTGCTGTCACAGTTTTGTAATATAGCTTGAAGTCAGGCATTGTGATGGCCCCAGCTTTGGTTTTATTTTTCAACATGTCCCTGGCTTTGTGGGGCCTTTTTTGGTTCCATACAAGTTTTAGGATTGTTTGTTCCAGCTCAATGAAAAGTGCCAATGGTATTTTAATAGGAGTGGTGTTGAAAGTGTAGATTTCTCTGGGAAGCATAGACATTTTAACCATGTTTATTCTTCTGATCCATGAGCATGGAATGGTTTCCCATCTTTTTGTGTCTTCCTCCATTTCTTTCATAAGTGTTCTGTAGTTTCTAGAGTATAAATCCTTTATCTCTTTGGTTAGGTTTATTCAAAAGGTATCTTACTATTTTTGGTGCTACTGTAAATGGAATTGATTCCCTAATTTTTCTTTCTACAGTTACTTTGTTAGTGTATAGAGAACCAACTGATTTCTCTGCATTGAATTGTATCCTGCCACATGACTGAATTGCTGTATGAGTTCTAGTAATTTGGGAGTGGATTCTTTTGGGTTTTCCACATAAAGTATCATATCATCTATGAGGAGAGAGTTTGACTTCTTTGCCAATTTGAATGCCTTTTATTTATTTTTGTAGTCTGATTGCTGAGGCCAGGACTTCTAGTCCGATGCTGAACAATAATGGTGAAAGTGGGCATCCTGTTGTGTTCCTGATCTTAAGGAAAAAGCCTTAGCTTTTCCCCATTGAGAATGGTATTCACTGTGGGCTGTTCATAGATGGTTTTTATGAAACTGGGGAATGTCCCCTCTATCCCTACACTTCAAAGAGTTTTCATCAGGAAAGTGTGCTGTATTTTGTTAAATGCTTTTTCTGCATTAATTGAGATGATCCTATGGCTCTTGTCCTTTCATTTATTAATGTGCTCTATCATGTTGATGATCTGCGAATGTGGAACCACACACTTGCATCCCGGCAATAAATTCCAGCTGGTCGTGATGGATAATCCTTTTAATGTACTGTTGGATCCTATTGGCTAGGATCTTGTCAAGTATTTTGGCATCCATGTTCATCAGGGATATTGGTCTGCAATTCTCCTTTTTGATGGGGTCTTTGCCTGGTTTTGGGATCAAGGTAATGCTGGCCTCATAGAACAAGTTTGGAAGTTTTCCTTCTATTTCTATTTTTTGAAACAGCTTCAGAAGAATGGGTATTATTTCTTCTTTGAATGACAGCCTTGCTGGATATGGTATCCTTGGCTGCATGTTCTTCTCATTTAGTATCCTGAGTATGTCTTGTCAGCCCTTTCTGTCTTGCCAGGTCTCTGTGGACAGGTCCAACATTATTCTGACATTCCTCCCTCAATACATTAGAAATCTCTTCCCCCTGGCTGCTTTCTGGATTGCTTTCTTGGTTCTAAGATTTGCAAGATCTCCATTTTGAATTCTAATAGTGTATTTATAGACTATTTTGTATTTTTATGTACACCCTCATATTATCTGTGAATGGTCACAATTATCCCCTCAATTCTTATTCTTTTTATTTCTCTTACCTTCTAACACTTGGTAGATTCTCCAATGCAATGTTGACTAGAGTAGCATTGTTTGAAGATTTTAATATACTTTTCTCAATATCTGATAGAAAAAGCAGATGAAACATTGGTTACAAATGTGATCAAATTGACATATAGGCAACATTACCCATTAAGTACAGAATACATTGTTTTCAAGGGGTCCTAGGATATTTATCCAAGTAGATGAAATGTTGGGCCATGAAGCAAGTCTACACATTTTAAAACCTGAAATTAATTAGATTATATTCTTAGACCACAGGGGAATTGAACCATAGTCAAAATGAAAAGAAAACCAGGAAGTCCCTCAATGTTTGAAAATTAAATGTAACTTTGCTACATATCCTAGGGGTCAGAGAGGGAATCACAAAGGAAATCCTCAACCTTTCCTACATCAGAGCTCACAGACAATGGTACTCTATCTGTGACGAGCAGTGTAATTAGCAGCGTAATTAGCTGTGTAATTAGCTAGTTGAGCTTTAAGTCAGAGTTCTGCCTGCCCCAGCCACACCTGGCAGCCTTGGCCTGTGATCCCCCACAGCTGCCCTTTTTGGTGGCCCTGAGCTAAGAGGGACAACATTGCCATATGGAAATGGGAAGTTCCCCACTCCTAGTGATGATGGTGCCCCCCACCCAAGCTGCCCTTTCTGGTGGCCCTGAGCTAAGAGGGACAACATGGCCATGTGGAAATGGGAAGCTGCACAGCCCTAGTGATGATGGTGCTATTGTATTGTCCTCATCAGTCCAACAGCATGTTTTCTGAGTGAGATATGACATGATAGTAGATTCTTGACTTTCATTAAGGGTTGAAAATCATCTTGGGATTCATCTATTAGAAATACATATTCAACATGTATTCTTTCTTCTGGAAAAAAAAATAGACCCAAATACTAATCATGGCTTCCTGAGCACCTGTCTTGATAGCCAGCACACAAGCTCTGTGTGGAATTCTCCCTCTCAACATCTAGACTATGATGTAGATGTTATCAGTCACATTTTCTAGATGGTTAGACAGGGGCTCAGAGGTGATTCGAGTCACAGAGGATTTTAGTGTCAGAAACCTAACTGAGACCCCCAAATTGACTCCAAATCCCTTGTTATTCCATACATGGTACTATTTCCTCTTATCGCTGGTCTTCTCAATCTGGAAACATCTCAGGTCTCAGGATTTTCTTGTTGTGTGTTCAACTGGAATAAATTCAGCTGGCCTTTTTACCTCTACCCACCATGATCATTAAGAGTGAAGGAACTTTGAGTAAGATACTCAAAGATCCCTAGGAATACAGACATTATAATATTTTTCTGATATTAAAGTTACTGAAAGAACTATCTTTTTAAAATTGTTTCAAGCTCTGGTATGTTCAGAGTGTGCTGTAACACAAGTCTGAAATAGTATTTAAAAAGACTCAGCTCAGCCTTTTCTACAAAGTAAGACAATGCTTGTAAACAGTGCTAAAATATTCCCTTACCCACAATGACTTACTTTGCAACCATTGTAATGCTTATGTGGTATGACTATGACTTACATTAGTCAAAATCTGCAGGGAAAGAACTAAGACAGTGTATCCAAGCTTTAGGGGGACTTCATGTTTAAATTAGTGTTGTGACAATGAGCTACTCTTTTTTATTCTGTAGTCCAAGGGAATGGTACCAGACATCTCCAAGATGCTGGGAGACTCTAAAACTCTGACTTTAAATAATCTGTGTTCTTCAGAGATTTGGGCAGAAGAAAGGGAGGAGCCCAGCTTCTGTGAATACCTCTGTTACCTGTGTTGACAAGGTATCCTTCTGTAGGCATCATTTTGATTTCTTGGTAGTATTGTTAAAGGTGCTTTTGTCTCAGGTTCCTCTCCTTGGTAGTAACTAGAACAATAATGGAAATTTTTGTCTTTTACCATGCATGCGCCCAGATCCTGGGCTTCCAGGGAAGCTATCCTTTAACGTTTTATCAAGCTCAAAATGACTGGGCAAAACCTCAGAGCATGGGCCCTATTTCTGCCCAAGGCACATGTTATACATCTGCTTGGAGAAAAAAAAGATTACCAAAAAATGCCATTGCAAACATAAAGATAAGAAAAACAAAAGAATCTCTCCTGCTCCCATAAGATTAAAGTCATACTGACTTGCACATACTGAAAACATAAGAAAAAGTCTGTAACTTTCTGAAATGTTCTTCCTCATGATGATGTGTAACTCTGTATGTAAAACAATACAGAATGAATACAGGAACCTGCCCCAGATGTTCCTCCCCCAGAGCACTCCCTTCCTTGTTAAGATTGTGTCTCCCATGCAGCTATCTTGACCTGGGTTTGAATAAAACTCTCTTCCTTTCTCTCTAAAATGTTTAAGAGTTTGTTCCTTTAGTGTCAACAATAACAGTATGTTTTCTTTTTAAGTGAAAATGAATGTTCCTGGTTCACAATTCCAACAGCACAGAAGGGCGATTTTCTTGCTCATCCTGGAGCTTCCCTGAAGAACCAAGCATGTGTCTATTTTCCAGCACAAATGGGCTTATCCTAGAAGGATGCTCAGAAGGTCTGAGAAGCACCATCCACTCCATAGGTGAGACCAGAAGGTGAAGCTCCTCCCACTTAGAGCATTACTTATTGGGTCTTAAAATTGCCTTGGAAATGTGGGAAACCATTGCATTTCCTTTCTCTTTTTCTTTTAAATTTTATTTTTTATTTGACAGACAGAAATCACAAGTAGGCAGAGAGACAGAGAGAGAGGGAGAAGCAGTCTCTCCACTGAACAGAGAGCCTGATGCAGGGCTCGATCCGATAACCCTGGGATCATGACCTGAGCTGAAGGCAGACACTTAAGGACTGAACCACCCAGGTGCCCCAACCATTGCATTTCCTAAAGCCCAAGCCTGGGAAGGTCTGAGAGCAGCTGACCTTGCCAGGAGCCAGGAACAACTCCTCAGGCAGTATTGGTGCAGGAAGGGAAAGGGCAGAGGTCTGAGGGTGGTCTGCAGCCAGTGGGCTCCCCAGAAGCAGCCAGTTGTCTGGGGTATGAGGGCCCTGCCCATGACCCGCCCATTCCTGCCCCGCAGAGGCAGGTGTTCTATTGAGGAGTTGCCACCTCCGGGAGTACCTGCAAAAAGTAGGGAGATGTGGGCATAAGGTCGGGACACCTGGTACAGGCAGGCGCAGCATCCAGTAGTCTCAGGGCACCATCCTTCTCAACTGATCAGCACGTGGGGGTGGAGCTAAGTCATCTGTGGGTGGACCCAAAGCTGCCTAAGGATGCAGAATGGTGGCAGGCAAAGGGGCACTTGGAGAGTTCCTGGGCAGGGGTCCTTGCTCTGTGAGTGTGGGCTGTGTACTGGGGGGGGGTGGTCCTGGGGGTAGGGTCCTCGAGGGGCAGATGAAGCAAGTTCATCGTGGGGACTCAGATGGGTTTTCCTTTTCCCTTGAAAGTCTCTTCTGCTCCATGTCCATCAACTGGCCATATCCCCCAGACCCCTGAACTCCAGGGCATCTGCTCACCCAAGCTTTTGTGGGATGGGTTGCAGACATTTCAGGGTTTCCCGTTTTCCCCAGGACGAGTGCATATAAAGACATCACACAGTCCCCAACTTCATTGGGGTGCCTCCTGTCCCTTGGCACAGTACAGGTAATGGATCTTGAGCAGCACCCGAGTTCAGCAGGGTGGCCCATGTTCCCCACCCCCCACAGGTATGGTGCTAACAAGCCCCAGAACAGTTCTCCAGCTTCAGCATTTTTCGCCCTGTCTGTGGGGTGGTGGTAATTGGCTGTCAGGGTTGTGTATGAGGGTCCTCCAGATTCCTGCCCCCCTCCCAGCACAGGTATGGCACTAACAAGCCCCAGAGGCAACCCCCAGCTTCAGCACTGTGTCCTGTGTTCCCCGGGGATGGAGGTAATGGGTTGTCAGGATCCTGCAGGAGCGTCCTCCAGTTGGGGGCCTGGAAGCTGGAGGAAACCAGACCCCACTCAAGTTGCATGAGGAACAGGTGAGTTGAGGTGTTCATTTGGAAGCTTAATTTCATTTTTCTAAAAAAGACAAAGTCATTGGTCTGTTTTATATTGTTGAAAATTACTACTTAGGAAACAAGTATGTGTTTCCAAAAAAAGGAAGAAAAAAAAAAGAAAAGAAAAAGAAAAGAAAGAAAAAAGAAGAGGAACAAGTATGTATTTTCCCTTTTCCCGGGAACAGAAGCAGGTGTGCTGGCCTAGCTCAGAGGTGCCTTCGTATCCACACCTGACAAAACTTCTTGGATCTGGCTCCACGATACCGGAAGCTTTGAACAACAGCGTCTGAGTCAGTCAGGCAGCTTGTCACAGGACGTCAGCATTCTGAGAAAGCAGCAGGTACACTGGGCACAACGTCACTTACATGTCAGGACTGGAGGTAAAACTTCTTTTTAACCCAAAACCTCCTGGGCTTTTGTCTTTTCTCTAGTTGAGCCACGAAGTAAAACTGAAGTAGCTGTCAGCATTCTGGATTTGGTGCAAGTTACTTAGTTTCCCTGCGGGTAGAACATTGCAGGAAATACCATCTTCTCTGTTCATTTACTGCTTACAAAATGTCATCTGCACATCTGTTTCCTAGGAAATCACTTGTATCAGAGAAGGAAGATGAGATTTACTCTTAGTGTGCTTTTAGCATATGCTAAAAATTGGATCCTTCATCTAACAGTGTTTATCCCTTTGGGTCTAGGGGATGGTTGAATGGCCACCATCTAGAGTTAGGTGGCTTTTTGTGGCCAGATAGAGACATGGATGATGTCTTGTCATTTGTCAAAGGTGATGTTTCATACCCATAATCATAAACATAATCATATTTCATAATCAGTACTGATTAGTGTTTTCATCAAAAGTGTTCCAATTAAGGTAGAGGGAAAATTCAAAATGATTTAAAGTAGGCTTTTACTGTTTAAAAGTAAAGCTTGACTTTCTAGTTTGACTCAATGTATCTAGATATTCTGACCTGCTGTATTTTCCCTGTAGTTTCTTTGGTGGTGGAGTCAGAAGGAGAGTCTTTGGGAATTCTTCTGGATAGAAGCATGCTGTTGGCGTCAAAGGGCTTGGCAGATTCCAGGAGCCCTGGGGTGAATTCTGGAACTGCTTGCCTGATGCTGGATGAGTCAGCTTATCCCACAGAGTTTGTTTCTTCTCATGAAATTGCTGGAAGTTAATATCTATGAAAAGGCTTTTTACACAGAAACTTTCAGCCTAATGAAGAGCCACTAACAATTTACTATTCTGTAAATAATAGTTTCATAACCCTCTATCTTAGGCTATGGTATTTGTTGCACAAGGAGTCCTCAGAAGGCTGCAGTGAAAGACTCAGATCTCAGAGCATGTTCAGGTTCCATTGATGCGTGACTGACAGTTTGCCCAGGTCGGAAGGTAAGTGGAGAGAAATACAACACATTTATGAAAGCCTTGGGCAAGCATAATTTTGACAAGATGGGAGAATCCTGGAGCTTTGCAGCAGACAGGGCAGTTCCAGGTCTGGGTAGAGCTGCCAGGGGTCCTGGAGGAGAGTGAAGTGGGTTCTGCAGGAGGACCCTGGAGCCAGGGGTGGCCGTGTGTCCCCCATGTGACAGTTGTGACGGGTCAGGGCTGTGAGCAGGTTCCTGGCTGAGGACAGGTTAGGCCCAGGTGGAGAGCTGGCAGGGCACCTTCTGTGCCACCAACCTCAGCCAACACACATCTCTTCATCTGTCCCTGTCACTCCAGTTCAGACTGCTTCACATTGCCAGGCCAACACATTGGTTTGGGTTTCTTTCTTTGAGTGTGCTTGAAGTTTCAAAACCTTGATGATGAAATGATGGGTCATCAGAACATCTGTTCCTCTTATATTTCCTGCTCTCCTTTAAGTCACTGTCATGAATCATACATGCCAGTGCAAGGGGCAATCTATGCATTTTTATTTCCTGTTTTAATTAAACAATGGGAAACAAATCTTCTGAAATATTAGAAGAATTCTTTGTGGGTGTTTATGTTTTTCTCTTCAATGAACCATATTCCAATATTAGAAAATATTTTTTAAAGTAAAACGCAGGCGCGGAGCTCTAACAGGGCACAGTGGCCTTTGTGAGGAGGGCAAATGGAGACGGAGTATAGGTTGTTGAGTAGCTTGGGGAGTGACTCGTTGTGCTTCCAGAGAAAATCTACCCTCCCTCAGTGGGTAAGCAGCTGCTTACCTGGTGGCCCATCCTGGGAGATTTGGACCCTGGGATGCTTCTCTGCTCAACTTTCTCAGGTGAGCACATCATTCAAGGGGAGGACATGTGTGTGCTCACCTGGAGTCAAGGAAGGTGTCTGGTATCAGGTTTCATGTGCAAGTGGATTCCTCTTATGGCTCATTTTCCTGATGGTCTTCAGGGTGCCATAGGGGGACCCATTGTCCTGGGCATTTTGGCTGTGCAAGAGCTCTGGTCATCTTTTCACCTAGGGGTCTGGACTAGGAAATCAGAGGGAGACAATGGTGAAATGATCTGAGTAGGCCTCCGTTTCCCCCTTGCTGAGATGGCCTGGTGACTGTGATAACTGCTTTGGAAATAGAAAGAAGGAGATAGGGCTAGGGTGCTGAAGGGGGGCTGGCAGTGGTGTGCTATTCATATAGGGGCCAGGTAGGACTTCACTAGGAAGGTGATACTTGAGTCAAGTTCCAAAGAAAGTGAATGATAACACACCAAGAGCCTTCTAAATGGAAGGGAAAGTATATACAAAGGCCCTGGGGCAGGAGCATACCAGGTATGTCCAGGAGCAGCAACAAGACCCTGTGGCCACAGGAGACAGCTTAGGACATGACCTCAGGGAGGTGACAGTAGGGTGACAGAAAGCCATTGAAGGGCCATGACCCCATGAGACCCTGTTTCATTGGGCCATCCTGGCTACAGTGTTGAGAACAGATGACACAAGGTTGAGGATGGGCAAGGAAGGTAAATGATGAAGCTTTTCCAGGAACTCAGGCAAGAGATGGGCTCTAGCGTGGACCAGACATGTGGCCTTGGAAGGGGGGGTTAATGCTATTCCAGGTACCTACTGAAGATGGAACTTGGATGGTTTGCCTATGGTTTCGATGTTGGAAATGGGAGAAAGGAGGAACTGAGGTAACTCCCAGCTCTTATGGGTTGTCCTGAGTGAGGTGAAGGAGGAAGTTTCTGGGGGAAGGAGGTAGTCCATGTTCCACCTCCTGAGGAATGTGCCTTCCACAGTGGATCTGCTGATGTTTGTGTCTGGGAGAACTCTGAACTTCTAACCCCTCAGCAACTTTCAAGTACAAGTCTTCCCCACTTTTCTCAAAGTTCATGATAAGACACTTGGCATTTTGGAAGGATCGTTATTGCTCCGGTAGCAGGAAGTAACCTGAAGAGGATTTCCTTCTTAAGAAAAAAGTAAAAAAGTGGGCATTTCATTCAGCATCTGTTTTGTGGGGAACCCCCGCAGAGGCAGCATGCACCCTAACCAGCTCCTTCCTGGGTACTGCTCTTCACGTCCAGCTACTGGCACTTTGAATTGTGTCTGTGAGCATCTGCTGTGCTTTATCTTCATTTATTTTGGGCATCTGTAAGATGTTGTGTCCTGAGGCCTAAGAAGAGCCAAAGAGAAGGAACTTTTGGTGTCTGAGCATGCTCATTCACTTTTCTGTAGAAATGAATGGTCATTCCTTTTTTCATTGACACCATTTCTGCTGTGAAAGCTTTCCTAGGAACACTGTACTTTCAAGTAGCGGGGGAGACTGTACCCCATCCTGCAGGGTTATATTTTGTCTCCATGCTGCACAGAACATTCCATGACTTGCGGATTTTATCACTCAAACATGGCACCTTTGACCACCTTCACCTGTTTCTCTCCACCATCCCTGAATCTGGCACCCACCCATCTGTTCTCATTATCTATGCGTTCAATATTTTTTCCATGTGGAATGTCCCTGAGAGCCTCTGGTGTGTGTCTTTCTGTGTCTGAGTTACTTAGCATAAGGCTCCCATGGTCAATGTTTCCATGTCTGGTTATTGTGAATAATGCCACCTTGAACATGGGAGTGCATCTCTCTTTTGGAGGGAGTCTTGTCTTGTCTTCTCTTCTCTTCTCTGTTCTCTTTCTTTCTTTCTTCATCTTGTTTCTTCCTCTCCTTCCTCCCTCCCTCCCTTCCTTCCTTCCTTCCTTCCTTCCTTCCTTCTGCTCTTACAGTTTATTTGTTGGGGAAATATTTTTCCTGTCAGAGTATATGCAGTGTGGACTTCATTGGTGACGTCTTCATATTCTTTGTTAGGACTTTTCTCTGACAACTGTGCTTTTCTAAATGAGTAGCTGGATCTGTAGCTTTCAACAGGTTGAACATTTGGGCAGAACCACTTAAGTAATATTCTTTATTTCTTTAAAGGTTTTATTTATTTATTTGACAGACAGAGATCACAAGTAGGCAGAGAGGCAGGCGGGGGTGTGGGGAAGCAGGCTCACCGCTGAGCAGGGAGCCCGATGCGGGGCTTGATCCCAGGACCCTGGGATCATGACCTGAGCTGAAGGCAGAAGCTTAGCCCACTGAGCCACCCAGGCGCCCCCACTTAAGTAATATTCTATTCTACAGTCAGACACAAGATTGTGTCTCATTGTCTTCTTTTGTGATGTTCTCAGTTGTGATAATGGATATCTATGTTTCCTTTTCCGTGGTAGGTTTATTAAAGTGAATTTAATTTTTTCTAAAAGTATGGATTCTAAATAATCCTTCTTTTATAATATATATTTATCTGAAACAGCATGTTTAAAAAATGCATTTATTGGAAGCAAGCGTTGGAATAGGACATAAATATTATTAATTCCCATTCAGAGTTAATAATTCTATCAGAGCTAAGTTGAAGCATCCCTTTAATATACGAATGAATAAACTTTGCCAAAAGTACTATGATTATCAGTTTCTGAGCTGTCTATTGTGTTCCATTGACCTGTGTGTCTGCTTTTATGCCAGTCCCATACTGTTTTGATGACAAAGGCTTTGTAATCTAGCTTGAAATTGGAGTGTGGTGACTCCAGCTTGCTTAGTCGCTTGTTTGCTTGCTTGCCTCCTTGCTTGCTTTTTTGCTTGCTTGTTTTCTTTCTATAAGTGAGATTATTTATTTTTAGTTTACATTTGTATTCTAAATGTTTTTCTTTCACTTTTTTATTATGATCATATAATGTGTTATTTGTTTCAGGGGTACCAATTTGAGAATCTTCTGTTTTACACAGCACACAGTGCTCACCACTGCACATACTCTCCCCATGCCCATCACCTGCCACCCTGTTCCCCTACTCCCATCCCCTTCAGAAACCTCAGTTTGCTTCTGGAGATTAAGTGTCTCTTTTACTTTGACTCCCTCTCTGGTTTCTTCTTGCTTCCTTTTTTCCTCTCTTCCCCTATGATCCTCTGTCTTGTTTCTTAAATTCCACTTATCAGTGAGATCATATGATAATTGTCCTTCTCTGATTGACTTATTTCACTTTGCCTAATACCCTCTAGTTCCATCCATGTCATTGCAAATGACAAGATTTCATTTTTGATGGCGGCATAACATTCAATGCTATATATATCCATATAGATCCATTCATCTGTTGATGGATATCTGGACTCTGCATAATTTGGCTCTTGTGGGCAATCCTGCTATAGACAGACACTGGGGTGCAGGTGCCCCTTCAAATCCCTCCATTTGTATCTTTGGGTTAAATACCCAATAGTGCAGTTGCAGGGTTGTAGGGTACCTCTATTTTCAACTTGAGGAACCTCCACACTGTTTTCCAGGGTGGCTTCACCAGCTTATATTCCCACCAAGAGTATGAAAGGGTTCTCCTTCCTCCACATCCTCGCCAACACCTGTCATTTCCTGACTTGTTCATTTTAGCCATTCTGACTGGTGTGAGGTGGTATCTCATTATGGATTTGATTTGTATTTTCCTAATGTCGAGGGATGTTGACAGTTTTTTATGTGACTATTGGCCATTTGGATGTCTTCTTTGGAGAAATGTCTGTTCACGTCTTTGGCTATTTCTTGAGTGGATTATTTGTTCTGTGGGTGTTGAGTTTGGTAAGTTCTTTCTAGATTTTGGATATGAGCCCTTTATCTGATATGTCTTTTGCAAATATCTTTTCTTATTCTGTTGGCTGTCTTTTGGTTTTGTTGACTGTTTCCTTTGCTTTGTAAACCTTGCTATGTTGATGAAGTCCCAACAGTTCATTTTGCTTTCGTTTCCCTCATCTTTGGAGATGTGTCCAGCAAGAAGTTGCTCTGGCTGAGGTCAAAGAGGTTGCTGTCTCTGTTCTCCTCAAGGAATTGGATGAATTCCTATCTCACATAGAGGTCTTTCATCCATTTGAAGTCTATTTCTTGTGTATGGTATAAGGAATTGGTCCAGTTTCCTTATTCTGCATATGGCTGTCCCATGTTCCCAGCACCATTTATTGAAGACACTCCCCACCCATTGGATATGATATTCTTTCCTGCTTTGAAGAAGACTAGGTGAAATGAAGAAACCACTTCTGGTTTCTCTATTCTGTTTCATTGATCTGTGTGTTTTTGTGCCAGGACCATACATACTTTCTTGATATTACAGCTTTATAATAGAGTTTGAAATCTGCAATTAGGTTGCCGTCAGCTTTGGTTTTCTTTTTCAACATCCCTTTGGCTATTTGGGGTCTTTTCTGCTTCCACACAAATTGGGGGATTATTTATTCCAGTTCTGTGAAAAAACGTGAATGGTATTTTAATAGGGATTGCATTGAATCTTTGGATTGTTCTGGGTAGCATAGACATTTTCACAGTATTTTTTCTTCCAATCCATGAGTATGGAATGCTTTTCCATTTCTTTGTGTCTTCTCCATTTCTTTCATGACTATGGTATAATTTTCTGAGGATAGATCCTTTGCCTCTTTGGTTAGATGGATTCCTAAGTATCTTGTGTTTTGGGATGAAATTATACATGGGATGGACTCCTTAATTTCTCTTTGTTCCATTGTTGCTCTAGACAAATTCAAGTGATTTCTGTGCATTGATTTTATATCCTGCCACTTTACAGAATTCCTGAATGAGTTCTTACAATTGGGGAGTGGAGGCTTTTGGGTTTTCCACAGAAAGTATCCTATTGTCTGAAACACATGAGAGTTTGAATTCTTCTTTGCCAATTTGGATGCCTTTTATTTCTTTTTGTTGTCTGGTGATTGAGTCTAGAAATTCTAGTACCATGTTCAACAATAGTGATGAGAATGGGCATCCCTGTCCTGTTCCTGACATGAAGGGAAAAGCTCTCAGTTTTGCTTTCATGA